TCCATGGTATTCCATGGTGTATATGTACCACATTGTCTTTATCCAGTCTACCACTGATGGGCATTTTCCATGACTTTGCTATTGTCAGCACAATTCTTATCAAAATCCCAGCTAGCTTCTTTCCAGAAAGTGACAAGCTAATTCTAAAATTATATGGCAATTTGAGGCACCCAAAGTAGCAAAAATAATCTTAAAAAGTAACAAAGTGGGATGACTCAAATGTCCCAATTTCAAAACCCAAATCAAATCTACAGCAGTCACAGTGTGAAACCAACAGACCGATAAATCAATAGAATAGAACTGACAACCCAGAAATAAACCCTCATATTTATGGCAAATTGGTTTTTGACAGGGGTGGAAATAATGTTGTTTCTTTTTAATGGTGCTGGAACAACTGGACATCTATAGGCAAAATAATGAAGGTAGACCCCCTATACCTCATACCATTATAAAAATTAATGCAAAATATGTCAAATACTTAAATATAAGAGCCAAAATGATAAGACTCTTAGAAGAAAACATGGGAGTAAATCTCATGACCTTAACTTAGGCAACAGTTTTTTCTTCTCCAAACTGGATTTTTTTTTTCTTTTAAAACAATTTTTTCTTTTGGATTTAATGAAGTGTTACTAGCTGAAGCCAGTCTGACATGGTGAAAGGAATGTCAGACTGATGAAAGGTATGCAGCCTGATTTAAAAACAAACCCTGAATGCTTTTAAAGAAGAATAAAACATTTTATACACAAAAATGACACCAAAATACAAACAACCAAAGGAAAAATAAATTAGATTTAATCAAAATTAAAAACTTTTGTACATCAAAGAATACTCTCATGAAAATCACAAAAGTCACTGGATGAGAGAAAATATTGGCAAATTATCTGATTAGGTCTAATATGCAGAGTATTCAGAAGATACACAGAATTCTTATAATTCCATAAAAAGACAACTCAATATTTTAAATGGGGAGAGGATTTGAAAAAAACATTTCTTCAGATAAGATATATAAATGGCCCATATGCACATAAAAAATGCTCAGTGTCTTAACTCATTAGGGAAACGTCCCTCAAAAACCACAGTGAGATACTACTTTACACTCACTGGGACAGCTGTAATGAGAAGAGAGACAATGACAGTGTTGACAACGACATGGAGAAACTGGAACCCTCATACATTGCTGGTGGAAGAGTAAAATGGTGCAGCCACTGTGGAAAACAGTTTGACAGTTCCTCAGAAAATTAAATATAAGAGATGCCATATGATCTAGCAGTTCTACTGCTAGGAATGCACCCTAGAAATTAAAAACATGTCCACACAATTAATACATGCATGTCCATAGAAGCAATAGTCATAAAAGCCAAAATAAAGTGGAAACAACCCAAATGTCCACTAATTGATGAATAGATGAACTGACATAGTGATGTCTCCATACAATGGAATATCACTCAGCCTTGCAAAGGAATGATACATGCTACAGCATGGGTGGACCTTAAAAACAACATGCTTTGTGAAAAGAAACCAGAAACAAAAGGCCACATACTGTATGATTCATTTATATGAAAGATCTGGAATAAGCAAATCCATAGGGACTCAAAGTAGATTAGTAGTTATCTGGGCCTGAGGGAAGAGAGCAATGGAGAGTGATGGCTAATGGGTGCCATGTTTCTCTTTGGGGCGATGAAAATGTTCTGGGGTTAGATAATGGTGATTGTTTGCTATGTAACCCTGTGAATATACTAATCAATACTGAATTGTACCCATTATAATACTGCATTGTATGGTATGCGGATTATATCTCAATTTAACACAAAGAAGCATGGTGTACTAAACGGAACACCAAGTGCAAAGACCAAACATGCTGGCAGATGGAAAAGAGAGGAGTGAAGATTCACTCTCCCTTGACCAAGGTCAGAGTGAGTCAGTGGCGAGGCTGGGAGCCACACAGCTTGTCCTGCCTTGTGATCAACCTCTTCTTCCTAGTCCAGATGGTTTTTCAGTGCCATTAACCTGTTTTGTAACACTTATATTCAATAAGATAATGCTACACAGAGAAAGAAAGAATGTGAGTGCCACATGACTGGTTAAGCATGGTTTCTCAAACTAGGGCTTTAAATATCCTTCGTGCTTCTTTTGTCATTAAAACCTGTAAGATCACTGGTGGACTCTGTGCAAGTAAGCTACCCCCTGCTTCTATATCTTCCCCTGCCCACTTTCCTCCCAGCTATTAACAATGACTGTAGGCTGGGCACAGCAGCTTATGCCTGTAATCTCAGCACTTTGGGAGGCCTAAACAGAAGGATAGCCTGAGCCTAGGAGTTTGAGACCAGCCTGGGTAACATAGTGATAACCTGTTTCTATTAATGATAGTAATAATAATAATAATAATAATAATGACTGTAAAGCAATAAGTAGCCAAATCAACTTAGTAAAGTTTATCTTTCCTCTAAAATTATCTCACTCTCCAACATTCCTTCCCTCTTGACAGCTCATCCATAGCCTTGAGCTCAGCTTTATCTCTGAATTAGGAAGCTCTTTTCCAACTGACATAAGGATCTTTGCATTTGACCCCAATAAAATCAAAATATAGGGTCACTCAATATTATCCTATATTCCTCCTGTTTGAGGGCATTCTTTTCTTGACTAAGGTTGTGTCTGGACCATGGAGAGACTGAGTGGGAACTGACTCAACCGCTCAACTTTGAGGACTCTATAGCAACTCTTTTCCACAAACCAAATGATATGAATGTTTTTATTTATTTATATTTATGTTTCTACTTTTAAAAAGTTTTTCTGTAGAGATCAGGGGTCTCACTTTGTTACCCAGGCTGATCTTGAACTCCTGGAACTCAATCGATCCACCCGTCTCAGCCTCCTAAAGTGGTGGGATTACAGGCATTAGCCACCAAGCCTGGCCTCAAGTGTTTTTATATGCACAGTAGATGATCATTTCCATTTCTGATTTAAGTCCTTCATTTTATACATTAAACTAAGGTGCACTGACTCCCAGTCCATTGCCTTTTTGATATCTTTATGGGAATAAAATGTGGCAAGCTTTTAGCCTCAAAGACTGTCTCAGAGTCAAAGTTTAAGAAGTATTGCTC